ACCCTGGTGTATTAATCTGCCTGTTTTTACATGGAGCCTAGACCTATTAAGAGTTCTGTGCTTAAAAGTAACAAGTCTTAGCTTTTACAGAGAAGAGTTAACACTCAGACCTGGTAGCTAAAAGGCTTGGCCTCCTTAACCTGCCAAAAATATCTTGTTAGTCAGTTTTCCCATATTGCTCTGGTAGCTCTTTATTGTTTTTGAACTACAAGGCTTCCTCAGGATCTGAGTTCTTCCAGAGATTGCTAAGAGAGTATTGCTAGCTGTGTGAATAAGGAGGGCACTCAGTGGAAGTGCAGCAATGTCAAACATGTCCACAGATGTACTCTGAACACTCGCTGCAAACATTAGCAGAAGGACAGGTGCATAATCACCTTGTTGAATATATAACTGAAATAAGTATGTACTGTTGAACTGTTTGGCTTTCAGCTCCTGCAGGCAATTCGGGCTCTCTTTGAGCCTTTGTGTTGGAAAGGAAGGGCCAGTGTGTTCTTGCAGAGTGTTTGGCTGCATTGCAACAAACCTGGTTACTGATGCCCAGGCGTACTTTGATTGATGCAGAGATGAAATGACTTTTGGGAGTGGCTTTTGGGGTGACGTCCCACATACAATGATGTCAGCAAAAGATTTTAAAAAATTCAGGTGTGGCATAATCTGCCAATTAAACTGATTAGTGCTCTGGCTGAGTCCTGAGAAGGAGCTCTGACTACAGCCGTGCTTGTTGAAGGCTTTTATTTAGTGCCTTTGGCTCACTTGTATGAGACTTTTTACCTAGTACCTTCACTGCAGCACGCTGTAGATTGCAGTAGGATACTGTACCAAGGCTAATGTGCTAGCTCTCTTGCTGTCAGGGGAAATCAGCTACCAGCTCACAAATGTCCCTGACCACTTGGAAGCTGTGACAGTGGAAGAGGTCCTGCGACTCCCGGGGATCGAGATGGAATGCATTGCTGCTCTGTTGGCAGAAGTGAAAGCTAGCCAGGAAGCAATGGAGGCTGGGCAGAAGGAATTAAAGCACGATGTGGAAACATCTCAGAAGGAAATCAGAACAGTGTTAGCATTGCAAAGGAGCCAGCAACAGGTGAAGGAAGATCTCAAAGCAGAGATGAAGTCCAGTCACTTGGATATAAGAACTGTGCTTGAGGAAATTCAGCGAGTAAGAGAAGAAATGGAAGCTCGGTTAAATACTCAGGCTGATCTGGTCTTACTGATCAAAGAAGTGAGCACCAATTTAACGTGTGTAGACAAGGCTTTCCAGAAAATGGAGGAGAGGCAGAAAGTTTTTACCAACCTGCACCTTCCCACAAGAGAAAATGTTGAGCAAGGATTTTTCTTTGAAAAATGCTTACACCAGACGCACATTGGTTTTGAAAATCCTGTGGAAGCTAACAGTTTGGATGAGGAATGTGAAAAGAAGGTGCTTGGGGGTAAGACAATTATGACTGCAAGTGTGGAAAGAGAAGTGGGGTACTTTCCACTAGTGCTTGTCCAGAAGTTTGTTTAGGCTATTTGGAATGCTTTTAAGAAATGTAACTTTTTTAGAAATTGAATGTCTTGCTTAAAATGATTTCTAGTTAGTGCAGACATTTAGTACCTAGACCTTCCTAGTACATAATAAGCAAAGGAAGGCTTTGATTTGGTTCTGCAAACCAAAAAAGCACGTGGTAGATTTTTCATCTGGTAATCCAGCAACAGTGCGCAAGATAGGGAGGCTCAGGAAACCAGCAGTATCTGAGGTAGCCAGCCAGACAAATACTATGTCAAGTACAGGACAGAGCCCCAGCACTTAAATGTAACTTTATGGAACACACCCTGTGTACTGACAGTTGAGTATTTCTTGCCGTTATATGACTATTAACCACAGAAGCTGTGTATGGGAAACAGTTTACTTTATGGAAAAGCTTGGAATGGGTTTAATTTAACTCCCCAGTGAGTTAGACTTGGCTGCTGTGCCATCCATGTAGTGACTGTAGAGGGAGTGAGAGGATTTGTGGACCTTTTCCAAGGTCTAGATCAAATCTTCTGTGAATGGTTCAGTGATCAAACGGCTTAGTCTTTGCAAAATCACTTTTAAATTTTTTCTTCTTTCCTGGTATGAAGAAGGGTAGGACCTTAGATGGCAATTCTGTTCAGTTACTGTGCTATATGCAGTACTTGCAAATCTGATTTCTAGTCTTCAGAAATGGAGCTTTTCAACTAGATTGGATAGAGTGGTTTTGAGCTTGTTGGAGAGGTGTCCAGAACCTAATTTATGAATGGAATTTGTTCTGTTTTACAAGTCTGACTGTATAAAGGTGGCAGGTAAAGAGGCCAAAGTGAGAAGGACTTGGGCTGGTAACCCATACTGTCGTTGATGTGGTGGTATCAATAATCAGATTCATGATGCTTTTGTTTTGATGAAAGCATGGCTTTTGTTTTGACACCACAGCATGCTTTCTATACAAATCTGGAAACGATCTGTCATTGCCCAGAGGTATGTAGGCCATAAATAAGCACTGGAGTGTCGGTAGTGTTAATCTGTAAAGGCAGTTCATGCTAAAGGGGGTTTATGCTTTTCAGCATTTGAAGTGGCTGTGTGTAGCACACATCTATGATAAAATTGCCAGCAGGAATGTCACTGAATTTCACTTCATGCATGTTTTTTTGTTCAGCTTTTTTTTTTAGAATAGTATCAAGGACTGGCTTGCTTGGATGCTTGAATGAGCTTCTAGGAAAATACTTGTTGGTCTGGGCAGCATGATAAAAGCAGTGGTATGAAACTGGCACAGTGATAAAGGCTGGCTGAACTCTGGATCCAGGGCATATCTGGAGTCTTTTGTCATTTGTGGTTAGCTGGTGTACCACTGTATTTAAGTGAAGTATCTTCATTAGGTAACTGTGATGTAATTTTTTCTCAGAGTAAAAATTATCTGCAAACATTTGTTCAGGTTTAATGCAGCTCTGTCAGGGTCCTAAAAATTGATGTAAAACTCATTTAAAATATTTAATTAAATTTTGACATTCACTAAATTCAGTGTATCAGTGAATTTACCCAGTACTCTTAAATCAAGATGAATACTCTGGTTCTCTATCATAAGTGGAGCATTCAGGAGGGGAGCTGGAATATATGAGAGAGTAGGAGTATGTAAGGCGGTAGGGAAGGGAAGAACTGACTGTACGTGTTTATTGTCTAGTCCCTGCTCCTTTTTTTTTTTCCCTCTCTTCTTGGTTATTGTCTCGTGATTTTTCAAGGAGCTTCAGAAGGTAACCAGTATTTTCCTACATGCAATACTGTCCATAAGATTGCTGGAAATTTGATATGGTTGCTCTCAAATGTGAACTGTCATTCATGTAAAGATGTCTACTCAAAGGACATTGTTATATCTGAACTCTGAGAAAAGAAGTGGTCACATAAGTTAAAATGGTGGTAAAAAGAAGATAACTAGAACTGGCAGCCAAGCTTTAGCATTTGTTGTCCAAATTTGTATTTTGATTTAGCTTATGTTGATGCACCTTTTAACAGCTCTACTATTAAACTGCAAGATGATATGTTTCTAATTGAAAATATACCCTTAAACAGTCTGCATCTCTGAGCAGAAGTGTAGGGAAGTCTCCAAGAATACCAAGGGCATTTGAATATGATAAAGCAATATGCTGTCAATTCTCTGACTAGCAGAAAATCTTGCCCAGAGAGGATTTATTTGGAGAATTAACAGACTCGGGAGGCACTTTATACCCAGCTCAGTAAGAAAGACACAGAGAACATTAGTATTTTGAACAGGAATCTTGTTTTCAAAGGCTTTGAAAAGAAATGGAGGCTGATGTATTAATGCAATAGTTGATGTGGCAGTCAGACTCACATTAACTGAGAATCAAAGCTTTTGTCATTAACACTGTCTCCAGTTGTGAAATTGAACCTTACACTGCTGGGACTATTCTAAAGTCACTTGACAACCTTCAAACCAGGTGATTGGGCTGTAGAAAGGACTGCCTCTAGTTGGTTAGTTTGTCCCATTTTTCTGCATGTTCCTACTTTTTTTTCTCCAGATCTCACCTCTCAGGTTTTTTCACTTTATCGTGAAGAAATCTTGTTAGTTGAAACTATACAAAGTAATCTGCTTAGATGTCTTCATTAAATTGCCAAGGGATATTTATCTATTGCATCACCCTTTTATTTCAAAAGTGTTTGTTCATTCCCTTTGTGATCAAACGGGGAAGACTGGCCCTATCTGCACAGCCCTGTACTCCCTTTCCAGTCTGAAGGCAGCAGAGAAACCTATAACCTACACAGCGTTTACGAGTCAAGTGCTGGATTATGTAATGTGGCTTCCTCTGACATGAGATGATTGTGTACTGTGAAAGGATTGAGGTTGCCACATAACTACGAATATTAAATCAACAATGTAATTTCTGGACTGTGAATATATATTGAAATATATTACATTTTAGAGCCTTTTTAAAGCCTTATCCTTGTGACTGAAATTGCTGGCACTAAGAAATGCTGCAAGACCTCTAGTTAATAAGCTCAGATCTGAACTGCGGAGAGGGGAGGTTTTACAAATAAAATTTTAAAAGGAAAAAATAACAAATGTAGAAAAAATTATTTTGTATTCAGCAGTATTTTAAAGTGCAGGAAATATGAAATCTGTGTTGCAAATGAAAGTGGACAATTCTTATGTTAGAAGTAAGTTACTGGATAGGTAGGATGACAGAGATCTTGCATTTTCCAAAAATATTTGTTCAAAGCACAGTGAAAAGAGCATGTTGAAAAGTATACCACAGAGTACATGAAGGTGAAGAAAAAGTGCAAAACAGTGTATCCAAGGTTATGGTGCTAGAAATTAATCTGGCAGATGATAGTGCCTGCTCTGCAGTGCTACTGAAATAACCCTTTCTCCTAGTTAGTATTTCAGAAAGTGTTTGTAAGAATTTTTAACTACTTCCTTTTGCACCTGTCCTTTTAAGTTTTGGTGAGATTTCAACATAAAATGCATATTAATTAGTTGTTGTTGTTGTTTTAGTTGACAAGGGCAAGCAGCGGAGTCCCAAGAGCTCGTGCATACAGACTCAAGGCTCCACAGATGCACGTTCACCTGGCACAAAAGCAGCAGAGTTGACACAGTACAAAACAAAATGTGAAACCCAAAGTGGAATCATCCTGCAGCTGAAAAAATTCCTGGCATCCAGTAACCAGAAGTTTGAAGCATTAACTGTTGTCATCCAGCACCTGCAGTCTGAGGTAAAAACTCACAACTCATCAATTTTGGCTTTAATTTTTGAACTCTTCTCAACAAGGGCTTCAGAAAATATTAATATACCAATACCTAAAATCTGTGCTTCCATTCCAGTGGTTTCTGTTTTCTTCTGGAGGTGATGCTCCTGGCATCAGTTGGATAGAAAAAAATGAAAATCCCGACACTGGGCTTTATGGCCTCTTTGCAGCTTCACATGCTTTTTAGAAGAGAAGTTTGTAGTCAAAGAGTCCTTCAGGATTGAGTAGCTTTCCAAATATGTACTTCAAGTTCTGCCCTTGTAGGAAAGATTAGTTTCAACATGTTATCTGCATGACCTTGCTTTATTATCTGACAATGGATGGAAGAGTATATAAGGGGTAGATACGTTTTTGAGCTACTCAGAATAAAGTCTGAGTTGTTACGGTTTTGTTTATTGTTGGTGGTATCTTAAAATTATCCTGCATTGTTGGTGGTGTCTTAAAATTATCCTGCATTGTTGGTGGTGTCTTAAAATTTTCAGTACTTCATTAAAAAAATACAGAAATGCACCTGGAATTACAGAGTGGAATAATCTGATGTGGTTTAATTTTTATTTGTTCTAGTCTGTTTGAAATACTTAATAACGTAATCACTTTGATACTACAAGAGAAACTGTTGGTCTGGTTTGAAAACTGTTGAGAAAAGAAAAATCTGAAGTTAAGGAAGTGATAACATTATGAATTTACTGCACAGCTAATGCAGGCTTTAATAGCAGTTTCTCCTGTATTTATAACTAATGTTCCAAGATTGGTGTCAATTTTATTTCAGCTGTTCCAATATGAAGTGATTTTCCAGTCTGCTATGCAAAAGAGCACTGGGTTGTCTTAGGACGCTGCCAGAAACGTAACATTCTCTTCTTGTGGGATAATAGCTGCTTGCTTTCATTTAATCTAAAAGTGCTGCATTTAACTCCAAGTCTGGTTCAACTCTAAAAGCAGTGGCTCTTAGCCAGTTTTCTGGGATTGGTTTGGCTGGTTTTTTAAAACTCTTGATTGGAAGACCTTTCTCTGCTAAGGAACTACTTTAAGATCTTCAAAGCAATTTGATACATGATTTTTTGATGCCTGTCATCTAACACAATATTGTGAAATTTATATGTGAAATTGTCACTGCTAAACTTCTGTGCAATCTTCTAATTACTGAATAATAAGCACACTGATTTTTTTGGTAACTTTTATAATTAAATGTCTTGACCTAGTTTCTTCTCTCAAATATTTTGTATTGCAACATTTTAAAGTTCACCAATACTTTATACATGTTATGTTTAGTGAGAAGAAGCCTGTCATACAAATCTGCTTCTTCCAGGCTATTTTACAGGTTGCTTAGCCTAAATGTGATTTTTTTTTTAGTTGTGTTTTTTTTTTTTTTAAAGAATAATGGGGGTTTTAATTAAAGAAAATGTGGTGTTGAAGATGGAGGGAAGAGAGAACTGCATGGAGGAGACTAGTAAATTTGCTCCTTATTCCTCTTTGTTAGTCTTTTGCAGATGGAAAGAAAAATTATTTCTGTCAAATTGTATAAAATTAAGTATATTGGACAGTTAAGTCTGAGCACATGAAATTAATATGACATATACCAGTAATTGGTATTGAGATTGCTCTCTCCTTTCCTGGGATAAGACAATACTTGCTGAAGAGTCACTGTTTTATTCTTGTGTACATACTATAGGGATGAGAAGGAGTATTCTGCCGTGGTGGTGTAAGGAATACTCAGAATCTGTTAGTTAGCTGAAAGATTTCTAGGTTTTAGAGAACACTGTGAAGAGTTGTTTTGGTTTTGTTTGTTGGTTTGGATTTTTTCCTTTAGAGTGAGATGTGGAGTCTGGTACAGCTAACTTAATCTCAGTTGGCCATATGATTATTTTTCTGAAGTATCTCTTGAGGGACCCCTTTGATGTAGCTTTCAAACTCTTTGGGTAAACTCAGGGAGAAACCTGAAGTTAGGTTTGAGTTCATGAGGCAGGGTCTCATAGGTTAACTACTGCAGAGCCAACCTAAAAAAAGCTTCAGCTTTTCTGGTTTTCAAAAAAAATAAAAATCATGCTTAGCTGATTACATGAGGAACAAAGCTGTGCTTCCTTTCTTCCCACTACAGCAAGTGGGAAGAAGTGAAGTGACATAATGCAGTGTAAACCTAAGAAACAGCTCTGGAACCAGAGGAAGGACCTGCTCTTGACTTCTGTGGTGCTGGTCGGTCCCTACAAAAGACCAGTTCAGTTTGCAGAAAGCTAAACCAGCCAAAGAAAGCATTTCTTTGCCAGGTTGTGATGTGGACTGTCCTAATGTGTGGTCAGAGCTGGTGCAAGGGTGAGATGGGGTCAAGGACTGGACTGGCCAAACAGAGAAAGAGCTGGAGTGAGCAATTGGAGTACTTTGAGGCTGAGCAGCCCAGCCCAAGCCTCTTGGCAAAATCTGCTCTGGCCTCCCCTGCTTTCCCTCCAAAGCTGAAGTTCCTGGAAGTTGATTCAGCTGCTAGATGTGTTTGGTTTACTTTTGTGTTTGGTTTTTTTTTTTCAAGAGTTCCTAATGCCATTTCTGCACAAAAGTTTCAAATTGCTTCTTATGAGCTCATTTGAAGTGGAATATAGCTGTGAATGAAATCAAGACTTGCTTGCAATGACTTCTCTCAGAAATGCAGCCAGCCCGTCTGGAGTGAAGTTGAGAGGGTACTATCAAATGGTTAAATGGGATTGAGCAATGCTGCTGTGGTGTTTCTAGCTAAGCAGGAATCTCTGGCAAAACACTGCCTGAGCTCAAACCTGTTTGTTGCAAGGGTTACCTTGGAGCTGTCAATAGTAACAGCTGCATCTGATAAAACCTTCACACCTGAGCTGTCAAGTGTTTCTTTGGGGAGGGGGTGGGTTTCTCTGCTTAAGTACCTTCACCAAGATTCTTCTGAAAAAAATCATAAAAACCTGATTTCTGCCTCAGAGGAGCTGTTGTTGCACTAGGTTAATGCTAGATGGAAACTCTCTTGGCATCCAAAATGCTTGATGGCAATGAACAGTGTGGCTGATGAGAACACCGAGTTTTTCCATTGTTGGACAGCTCTGTGTGTGCTGGCAGTGACAGAAACACGTGTCAAACTGTGGGCTAATCATAAAAAAAGCGAGTTTAGTCTTTCTAGACTACTGCTCTTCCCCTGGTCCACTGGCAATTCCTGTGACTTCATGACTATCTTCCTGTTTTTTAAATTCAAACAAGAAAGGAAAAGTGGCAGTACAGAGGAAATGGTGAAATTGGCCATTTACAATAAGTCCATGAAGTGCCAAGAAAGCTGTTTTCTGTTAACATTTAACTGCATTGAGCTCTGAAATTTGCACCACTGCATTTGAGTTGATCTTTTAATTTCCCCAAGTATTTATTTTGCTTAATAATTTTGAATTTATTTCTTGTCCCTTCAGTAACAGATGCATTCCCCGAGGCTTTAAATATATGGTTAGCATGTCTGTGGTAAGTCAGGCTGGGGATGCCTGCAGCTCTGCCGTCTCTTCCCTTGTCCTTGTGTATGCACAGGCTTCTTTGGGAAGCCAGTTCAGGCATCTAGTTTGGGAAGGGGGAAAAGAAATTATTATGGGTCTAGTTTTATAGGTCTGTCCATGTCCAAAGTGTTGTGGGTATGTTCCATATGTGGTTCACTGCAGGAAGGAGTGGGAGTGAAGACCCACCAGTGCTGAGGTGGGGTGGGAACGTGTACCTGAGAGGTCTGCAGCTGTGGCTGGGAGCCAAATGGTCCCTTGGGAAGTTAAAAAAAAAAGATCACCAGCTAATGAGGCTGAGGCTGTGGCAGCTCCTGCCTGAGCCTCTACTTCTTGCCTCCTGAGGGGTGCTCAGCCCCTCTCCCTGCCTCAGGGCTGCCCCCCACAAGGCTGTGTGAGTCCTGCAGCAGGGGTGTTTGAACCTCCAACTCACTGCTGTGTATAGACTCTTACATCTTTGGGGGTGGAGGGTGTTTGTTTTAGCAGCGTGGTAGTAGCTTGGTTTTAAATATGGTTTTAAATTTGTCTGTTTGAGAGATTCAGCCTTCAAGTGAAAAGGTAATGTACAGTTAGAATGACTTGAATGGCTTTGTAACTGTTCAAAACATGAATTGACAGATACTTCTCTTTTATCCTCTCATTTTAGTGTATAAACTGCCACATTCAGAACTACTCAAGCTGTTTAAAAATTTTAGAGGGTAAAATGTTTATTATAAATACCCATATTTATTCTTCTAGTTTAATTAACGATTCTAAGCATTTCAAGAACTTTTAACAGATTCTGCTATAGAAATGAGCTTCAAAATTGTGTTTGTGACACAGGATACTACAGAGATGAACAGAAAACTAGTTTCACTGTTCAGCTTGTCTTGGTATGGTTATGGGAAGACTGGTATTTACAGTTGAAACTTGGGAATGTCTGAGATGTCATCTTCAAGATGTTTCCTTCATAAAGGAAAAGGCATTTTGAGAGGCTATAAAGCCTTGACTACAATATGTGGATAACACTAATTGTGAGTGTGACACAGGAAACAACATGAGCATGTGCTAGAAATTGTGTGGCTGAAACAGGCTTCTGTATTTCTAGCAGGAAATAGAAATTAATTATTAGTATATGACCTGCTGTAACTGGCATTTCCTGACAAGTGCATGACTGTAAGAGTCGAGATACTAGTTTCCTTGGGAACTTCTTAGCACTTTAAAGAGTTTTATTTCCATTTTGGAATACATGAACACATGTATCAGAAATACTTGTTCTGGCCTTTGTGGTTGTTCAGCAGAAAATGTTTATATTTATCAAATGAAAAATGCATATCCTGCTTAAGGAGCAGAAGTACACATTGCATCACGAAACCCCAAACCATTTATAGTAAAAGGAAGAGTTTTTGAACAATTGTATCTTTTTGACCTGTAAGTGCAAAATATATTGGGAGACCTGTTGTTTAGATTTGCTGTCTTTAAGTTCAGTCTATACTTTTGATTTTCTAG